AGGCAAGTGTGGCGCACCTGAGCGCTGGCTCTGTCCATCCAGCCTGGACAACATGACCTGGAGAGTCACCAATCCGAGCGTGGCGTGTCCGAGGCTCGTCCTGGCACGCTTCTGCCAGCCTGGCCCTCAGGACGCAGAGATCCCACGGGGGAGGGGGGAAGGAGGCGAGGAGGACGAGGGAGGCGACGAGGGCGGAGGAGGAAGAGACACATGAAAAACACTCAAGGCGCCCGCGGCCCCCCAGCCTGCGGCGTCCCTCGCCAGCGGCATCCCAGTGCCACGGCAACCACACCTCTGGGCCATGCCTGAGTCCAGGCACCCCTGAAGAGGAGGAGGAAGGAGGAGGAGGAGGAGGAGGAGGAGGAGGAGGAGGGAAGAGCCTTGCAGCACGCCAGCTGCTAGAGAAAGCCCAATGCTGCAATTACAAGCCGTATCGCCACACAGCAAGCAGCACGCCTGCAAAGAGAACAAAGGACACTCAACTCACAGCTGCAAAGAGACCTGCAGCCCAAACAGGAGGAGGAAGAAGAGGAGGAGAGGACGACGAGGAGGAGGGGAGGCGACACATCGCCCTCTCTGGACGTCCGGCGGCGGGGAGGCCTGCTGAGGCGCCATCCCTCCGCCAGCCCCGGACACGCGAACACTCACAGCATACGCATACCTCGCGGCGCGGAGGAGGAGGAGGAACGAGGAGGACCCAGACGAGGAGGAGGAGGGGAGGCGACGCAGCGCCCTCTCAGGACGTCCGGCGGCGGGGAGGCCTGCTGAGGCGCCGTCCCTCCGCCAGCCCAGGACAAGCAAACACTCACAGCATACCAAAACGACGAGGAGGACGGGCGGCGACACATCGCCCTCTCTGGACGTCCGGCGGCGGGGAGGCCTGCTGAGGCGCCGTCCCTCCGCCAGCCCCGGACACGCGAACAGTCACAGCGCACCTCGAGGAGGAGGGGGGGGAGGAGGAGGAGGAGGAGGAGGAGGAGGAGGAGGAGGAGGAGGAGGAGGAGGAGGAGGAGGAGGAGGAGGAGGAGGAGGAGGAGGAGGAGGAGGAGGAGGAGGAGGAAAACTCGACACATACGGAGGGCATCTCATTCACTCGGCCTCACTGGTCGCCGGCTGCACTGTCCACGCTGGCCGCTGCGAACCCAGCCCTCGCACAGCGATCCGCGCAGCGGTGGCGCTCTGGTATGTCTGTCACCAGAGCAGCTCTGCCATGGCGGCCGCGCCGCCGAGGCAGCAGGGTGAACGCGGTGATCTCGCCGTACTGTGCGCACACGTCCTTCGCCCGGCGAGCGTCGCTGTCTGGGAACAGCATGTACAGGCCACCGTGCTCCAGCGGCTCGGGGGCCGCCACCCAAGCGTCATGGGCAGAAACATCGCTGATCTTATAAGGCGCCGTCAGGACAGGTTTGCCGACTCCGAAACGACCGCCAATGACGGACATCCAGGAGCCGCCTTCGGCCATCGACAAGAGGAAGGCGTCGATCCTCGCCAGGGTGCCGACCTGACCAGCGAGATCTCCCGGCAGCTGCGCGCCGAGAGGCTGGCCGCTCATGGTGGGCTGTGCGCACAAACGACCCTCGCGATGTCGTCCGGCTCCCAGAACCACCAGACCCAACGCGGCCGTCGACGGATCGCTGGCGAGAGCGGCTGCGGGTCGGCGGCGCCGCGTCTGGCGCCTCAGGGAGCGGGACGGTCAGACCAGTTCCGCGCAAGTTGGCCAGGCGGACCGCCTCCACGATCGAACACTCCTCCGACGCAGCCAGCACGGCCGCATCTGCTGCCAGCCTGTCGACCTCCGAGGCGCAAGGCTGCCAAAGGGTCCAATTTTCCTCGTCACCGCACCCAGGCGGCAAGCATATCCAGTTGTTGACCGTATCATCCTCGTGATGGCGGCCGACGGCGACGCGAACCTCTGCGAGCTGCGACAGCGCGTCGGCATCCAAGACGTGCCACAGAAACGCCACACCAGTGGCGTCGGTGGTCCGAGAGATCCACGCACGGCAGCCCTCAACACGGCATAGTACGAGATGCTCGTCAGCAGTGCCGCCACGGCCGACCAAGTGCACGAAGCGAGGCCCCGTAGACACACCGACCTCTGCCTGCCCCTCGGGCCCGCCAGGCGCGAGCCCGACGCGCGGGTCCAGCCGCAGGCCTCGTGCCCCAGGGCCGGCTGGAGCAGCAGGCGAGGGCGGCGCAGCGACGAGAGCACTGGCCACTGCTGGATCGTCGGGCCCCCGGTGAAGCGATGCGTCTGCGATCGCCTTCGCGAGCGGCACGCCCCTCGCCAAGGCCTCGACCGCACATCGAGCAGACTAGGCCGCGGGCTGCGGGCCGACGATGTCCAGGAAGCCGCCGTCTGCGCCCACGCCGCGCTCAAGGTGGGTCTCGACTCCGAAGGCTTTCTGGATGGCGCGCACAGCGTGGCGTCGCGCGCCGAGAACAGGGCCGAGTTCCGAGACCGCGAGCCGGACCCGCGCCCCACTCTCGGCTGGAGTCGCGC